ATGATCCCCTTCCAAAGTAATCAAGATCACTTTAGTTCGGGGTCGATATCCTTATAAAATAGGGATCGATCTCCCTTGCTGGGAGGAGCGCTCTTTGCTCAGGTTCTGGCTCTAGGATCAACCAAGCGAGATTCTGAAGGGGGCCATCACCCCAACCAACTTCCTACGTCTTCCTACGTCTATGGTCAACCAATCTAGAAACTCTTCAGCTTCCATTTCGCATTCAAGCTTTGCAATTTAACCACGGACACCATACTCTTTGTTATTTTGTAGAGCACATTTGATGCGATCTTCCCATCATTGTGCCCTTTCATGCTTGTTATGCTTATAACTATCCGTATCTGCCCTTCTTTCATCACTAGGGCTATCATCTTCTCTTTCGGCAAAAGGATCCAAATCATTCATTGCTCTTAACACGATTAGAGCTGCAATCACTTCCATTTTCACGATTAGTGGCCTTCACACATGTAACCAATTGGTAAGGTGCTGAATCTCTTCTTGCAACCCTTGAAACATCTCAAGAGTCACCGTATACCTGCCCATCTGGCCTCAATTTCCACGTGCACCTCTTACAGGCATCAACAAAAGAAATAAGTACCCAAAGAAGGAAAGTGAACAACTATAAGGAACAAACTTGCTATGATACCACTTGATGCATATCAAAGGCAAGAGTAGTACAAACTAGAAAATATGTAAGAACTAGCAGTATGAGTATTGAGCAATTTCTTGAAATAAATAAAATCCTTTAATTTTCAACTTAAAATCCCACAATTACCTTCAAATACTCTCTAAGAAAAGGAGATCAGCAGCTGGATTGAAGGTAAAAATCCTTTCGTGCTGCTCTCTATGGCAAAGTGATGTGATATGGAGCTTCAAGCTTCAACGTCCTCACTTCCAATCTCTCAAACCCTAGCTATAGGGGAGCCTTTCTCTCAAAGTAATCTTCCAAAAAGTGAAATCAGTGGCTAGAATTCCATAATATCAATTCAAATTTTTTTCCTTTTATATATTAATGGCTGGAAATCTACATACAATTGCCACCAAAACAATACCAAAATAAACCTATTGCAGTCTAGGATCTGTTAAAATCTTACTGCCAAGTAAACTTTGTTCAAATCTGAATTCAAACTTACAACTTAGGAAATAAAATAAGGCTAGGACAGCAAATTAAAATGAGTAGACTGGGAAGACTTTGCATGTTTTTGCCTAGGGTTACCCCCTTAAGACTTGGCACACCCCACACCTGCTCACCTATTGATGAGGCTCTTGGCCTATAAAAAACGTCTCTAGGTATCTTTTTGACATCAACAAGGGATGACCTTTATAAACCCTCAACGATAGTGTGCCTAAGGGAAAGGGTTTTGGACATGACCCAAGCCATGGACCGCCTAACCCTGGTTCAGTCTACCATCATACTCTCCTATTGAAGTGCATAATTTACTATCATTTATTATAATTACATGCTCTTGCGGCCATTAAAGGCCACAAACCCCAACATAAAGTCTGCCTTGCCTCGCTTGAAACTAGTATTTAAAACAATCAAAATAATATCCTAAAAGTTCCTATGAAATTCTAGCCATCCATTTAGTCTAATCACAACCGTTAAATCCCAACTCAAGTTAAAGCATTGCTAAATACCAAATATAGCATTTCACATAAAATTAAATCTCCAAAAATCCAAAACAATATCAAATGTAATGTAACCTTCAGATAAAACTAAATCCTTAGAAGTCCAAAACTTCCCCAATTCCTATAAACACTAAAGCACCTCAAAAGAGAAGTAAAGAATAGAAAAGTTGGGTGCCCTATCAGATTTTCAAGCCAAATTTTTGTTACTCTCTCTCTCTTCTTTTTCTTTTTCATCTAGAGTCTCAACCATTACATGTGAATCGTTAATGTTGGTTTTTCTTCATGTTGATTTTTCTAGATATGTTTATGCATGTTATTTTAATTTACATTCTTCCATAATTTGTGAGGCAGAAGAATATAAAAGAATGTCTTTGTGGCCTAGACATGTACAAAATTGGTTCAGTGCTCATATGATTGTCGGTGGGCATGTGGACTTGACCTATCAGATATTAATAACCAAGTTAGAGGGATCAGTTCTTTCTTCAATGATCTTGATAGACCGCTCACTTCTTTAACAGCTTACCCTGGCTTGTTGATAGTATAAATCCTTCAGACTGCTTCAAATCCAGCCTTTTTATTTTTCTAATGCATAATTTCATTTTTAATGATCACATTGAAAACATTGATTTCATCAATGGAGGTCATTTCTGATATTATTGTCTCCTACAAGCATCCACACGAGAACAATTTGTTTTTGTTTGCTAGCATATTTTATGACGAGGTCAACAGTTATTTGTTTGATAGGCTTTCTCATTAATGTCACTTTCATTTGAGGCTGGGGTTGGTAATTTTCTTTTTTGAGAAGGTTGGGGAAGAGGGGGGATTGGAGGGTTGATATTAATCTAGAAGGATGAGTTGTTCATTTGTTCAGCGGTGTTCTTATTAAGAATATTTGTTGAATATGGGATTTGTGTGGCCCTTGGGTTGAAGCCTCTTCATGACCTTGGACTTAAAGACTTCTGTTTGTTTTCTTGTGCATCATGGGGGATTCATGGAATGTCATTCATTGTCTCCAGAAAGCTTGTGCAACTCCTCGAAAGCAAGAATGTTGGTTTTTTAGTTTTACACTTGATTTCAATATATTGTATAGACAATAAACATATCTCGTGTGAAAAAAATGGGTAGATAAATTTGATGGTAGATTTCCTGGCTTAGTTAGGCTGTTCAGCTATGATTTCCTTCAATCATGTATGAATTGGCTATCAAGTTCACAACATGATGCCATCACTTATGAGTAGGACTCTTGATGGGCTACGGCCGATCAGGCTTGATCTCTGGCCTGGACCCAAAAGATAAATTTCAGTTCCGACCGAGTCCGAAATCTTGAACACAAGCCCCTAACCCAAAAATTAGGGCTGGGCCTTTTATAAATGCAGGAAAAATTTTATTTCAGAAGCTAATGACAAACATTTGTGCCGGGCTTGAACAGGTTCAAACACAGCCTGAAAAATGTACAGGGCTGAACTGAGCCCAGACATAAAGCCTGGCCCCAGCCCGAAAGCCCAGGGGCGGGCCTGGCCCTGGCCCCGGCCCCAGCCTCGGCCTCGGCCCCGGCCCCGGCCTCGGCCCCGGCCCCGGCCCCGGCCTCAGCCTCGGCCCCGGCCCAGGCCCCGGCCCCGGCCTCAGCCTCGGCCCCGGCCCCGGCCCCGGCCTCGTTAACACTCTCACTTACGAGGTTGGACAATGGTTAACACTCTCACTTACGAGGTTGGACAATGGTTAGGTAACTATTTGACGATAACAAAAGGGTGGGAGGTTGGGGAAGGATGAGGGGGAGTGGAGTGCAGAAAAGTTTTTGCTTGAGTTTTAAGTGATTATCAAAGGGTGCATTCTTATTCACCATTACACTAGTTACCTTCCTCTAAATTCGGTGGCCTTATTAGCATTATTTTCCAGTTATACACATACTATATCATTTTCTTGTGTGGGATACCCAAGTGAATAAAAACCATTGATCTACAACAACAAATCACAGCACTTCATATTCTATATACTGGCTTCTAATTTGTCTTGTGTGTGTCGCAAAAAGATGATCAGGCGAATTCACAACTCTTTGTTTTTGCTATGTACTTGGTACGGTTTATTGAATCCTGAAATATGGACTCATAATATGTCTCAAATATTAAGAAAACCCCTTGAAGTTTGTCAAATTTATTAACCCTTGCACCTAAGCCAACACTCAAGTCTAAAAAGGATCAGCTCTCTCTCTCTCTCGGTCTCTCTTCCCTCTGTCTTATTGCTGAGCTTAGAAACCCCAAAACATAGGAAATAAAAGTTGGCTTGAGAGATTGGAAAGAGACTGAAGAAAATCTAAGGGGGAGTGACACCTAATCCAACACTCCAGTCTCAAAAGGATGAGCAGCCCTCCACTCTTCCCCTTCTTCTTGTTTCTCCTCAGTTTGTCTTATTGCTGAGCTTAGCAACCCCAAAACAATACGAACTTGAAAATTAGAAAGAGATTATACAAGAACTTTTTAGGAGGGAAGGGCTCCAAAATAGGAGAATGGAGAAAGGATGATGTGCTATGTTTGTATGAATACACAAGCTTCCTAGTTCTTACCATCAGGCTATATTTATTGTATGATTTTTTTGGTAGTTAATAATTTGGATTTTCTGTTGAAATAATTTTGTATCTTTCTAGTTTTGTGTTACTTGTTTGGTATCCCAATTCAGAAAATCCACTTCTTAGTTTTTCTTTTGTGAGTCTTGATTTTCTTTAATTGCTGACGACATTGATATTCTTATTTGAAACTGGACTGCACTTCTAAGTTTTAATTTTTTGAGTTTGTTGACCCTCTATTTTTCGATGAATTTGAAGGATTTTTTTTTTTTGATAAGAGCATCATAATTCCTTTGGTTTTATGCTCTCTTTGTCGATTGCAAATGAAATATAAATTATTTTTTCATTTTTTCTATAATTTTCTTCAACAATATCTTGTTTTCTTTCCACTTTTTACAGACATCTCTTGAGCTTGATCTCTTGGCTGTGCTTGTGTATGGTGCAGGCTATTGAGTAGTTTTTGCTATTTAGTTTATTATATTTTAAATCTTGTCCCTTTGCAGCTGGCCATGAAAAATAACAAGTCCAAAATAAATTAAACGGAAATTTATCAAATCACCCGTGAGAGATGTTGAATTTGGACACTTTATCCATATCTCTTGATTTAATTTTAAAATACCCTTAAAGAAAAAGTGATCTTGAGTTGGAATAATTGCAAATTGGTAGAATGTTAAATAATTCATCTCTCACGGGTATTTTGATAAATTTCCTTAAATTTAAAAACTGAACTGCCAATTGAACTGTTTATCTCTTTGATTGTTGAACTGTGCTATAACTGCTTCTGTAATGTCCCATGACGATTCCAATGCAGCTTTTCTGAGCCGCTGAGATACTTGTCTGATCACAGAACAGTTCGTATTAGTCGAGCAATTTCTGATACACCTGCTGCCTCATTGGGAGTTCAAGCAGGAGACAGGTCATATAGATGGCATGATGCAGAATTTGATAAAGTTGCTAATGTCTATCGAAGATTGCTTTCTCGATTCATTGGAGAAATTGTTGAGGGAATGGTGGGTTATGTACCTCTTCTAACTATCATGGCTAAGCTGCTCTCTGATAATGGGTTCCAAGAGTTTGGTGATTTCAAAGTTACCATAATGGGGATGCTGGCTACGTATGGCTATGAACGGAGAATCTTGGTATTTCTTTTTGACTAATTTCTCATTAATGTTTAATAATTTGTGGAGTTTGATAGCAGTATTTCCCATTTGGTCCTTACGATAACAGTTGTAGTGTCTGGAGCTATCATTCTTTGCTTTAAATTGACAAATTCTTAGGCTCTTCCATTTGAGGCCAAAATTTTATGTGAGCAAGATAACTTACAAGATTTTTACTCATGAGATTTTCCTCCATATATATTTGCTCTGCTATTGGGGATGCCCTAAGGACGCAATTTTGATGAGGTTAGTTTTTGTGTTTTCCTTGAATAAAATGAGGTAAAAATGGAAAAGGGGAAGTGGAAGTCAATCTTTAAAGGTAGTCCATTTCTTCCTTGAAAAAGTATTCTCATTTTAGACCATTAGTTTTCAAAAACAGAAAAAAAAAAAAAAAGAAAAGAAAAAGTATCCTTGTTTATCTTGATGGTTGATGCCCCCAATCATTCTAAATTGCATGAAATATATGAAATCAATTATGCATCTGTAGTTTCTTTTTTTTTTGAGGGACATTAACTTATGAAGCATATGTAGTTTCATATTTAAAAATCTGCAAAGTCTTTTCTTCCATTTAGTTGATGCACCTGAAATTAGGTGTAATGACTTTGGCAGCTAAAACTTTTAAACTTCAAATTTCTTAGCTAAGCATTTCTGTAATACCAAGGCTTCCTGACCTGATTTGAATTGCCGCGGTCCTTGAATTTATATAGATAAGTTGTGACCTTGACAGGTTTGGTGCCTTCTTGTTCCACCTTCTAGATTCATGGTTTTTTCCTTGAGTGGTGCAAAACTTATGCTCTGCTCTTTAATCAGGATGCTGCCAAAGCTTTGATCGAGGATGATACATTTTATAGTATGAGCTTGCTCAAGAAGGGAGCTTCTCATGCTTATACCCCTCTGAGTACAAACTGCTGTATCTGTAATTGCTCCCTGACCAAGGATTCAGCAGTCATGGCCATCCGTGTCTTCCATTGTGGTCATGTGGCACATGTCCATTGTGATATTCAAGAAACTAACACATTAAGTAAAGATTCTTCAGTTGGGTGTCCTGTTTGTATGCCAAATGTAAAGCCTTCATCTGTGAGAGGCAAGGGCACCCTTATGGAGAATGGATTTGTGAGTACGTCTTATGCTGAGCCCCAACATTCACAAGGGATGATTCTTCAACCTCTGCATGAATCTGATGTCATTGAGAAGCCCTACGGACTTCAGCATATGTCTCGGGTAAATGATATGGCCTCGTGTTCTCTTTTCTTCTTGCCCTATCCTTCATTTACCATGGGCTCTGTGCGAGCGCATGTGCATGGATGTGTTCACGCACTCGCATGAGCATGCCTGTGTTCACACGCACGTGTGTTTGTGTTTTGTGTTTTGTGTTCGTACGTGCCTTCTGGTTGCATCTCATTACTTGTACATACTCCATTTTATCCATTGAATAGTGATTGGACATTTTTCTCCCTCCGTTCTCTTTATTTGTGCAGTTTGAGATCTTGGGGAATCTTCAGAATACCCTGAAATCTCTGAAAATTGACCCACTGCCTCAATTAAGGCTCTCACCCCCAGCAATTTACCATGACAAGGTGAAAAAAAATACAGGAAATTCAAAAGGTGGAAGCACTAGCAGCTCACGGAAAGGCGAGAAATCAAATAAAAACCAGCGAGCTGGAGAGCTGACAATTAGGGGAACTTCATCGTTTCAGTTTCCTTTAAAATCCAATATCTTCAGTAAGTATCCTGTGTTTATTTTCTTTGATTTTCTCCATACTAGGAAACTGCAATTTAATGTTTGTATCTTTACCATGTGCATAAACACATTTTGCAGGTAGTGAGAAGAGAAAGAAAAGGACAGTAACATAGTTCGTACTTCTCAAAATATTTAATTTTGTTTTAGAAGTGGAGAATACAGATACAAAAGGGAAAATCAAGGCAGACATTATAAGGTGTTTAAAATGTTTACGTTGATACACGTGCATTCGGAAGGGGTTGCGGGTCTTGGCATGCTCTTCTTCTAGTTGATTTTGTCTTCCATGTGTATCCCATTAAATTTATTTTTGGAGAGACAAAAATCTTACACTGAAGATTCTCCCTATTGTAGGTCTTGATTGGAAAGGCACTATATTTTGATTCTGAAGTTTCCTGAATATGAGAACCTGCATCAGAATTCAGAATGAGGAACCATGCTGGGCTTACTTGCAGGTTCTTTATCTTAGTCTTTCATTGGATTAGCAATTTCATTGATACCCAATGCTCTTATTCGTGTAATATCTATTTAATCATGAATGTTATAGCAATACATCCTCATGTAAAGTATTGTTCACCACTAGTTTTGGTAGGAAACAATTGTATAGATTGAGAATCGCTGGAAGAGCATCAAATTTCTTTCTTCTGGGTCAATGTTAGTCATTCTTCACTTCGAATAGAGATCAGCCCCCCTTATAATGTAAGCTTCAAGCATTGATGAAAAATCTTCTTTCTTGCTTTTTCCTTGTTTTATGACATAAACGAATGCAATCTTAGAGGTTTTCCATATACCTGATTTGATATATTGAATTTTAGTATTTTCCAGGAAACTCCATGTGATTTTCTTTGGAAATATTGTCCTTGATAACAAGAGATCCAAATCTTAATGGGAAAAAAAAATTAAACAAAAAATATAAGGTAGAGAGTTACATAGAAATAGATAAAAATATAAGCTAGATATTTACATAGAAATAGATTTTATGGAATCAGATAAGAAATTTACAAGTTGAAACGAATCTTAAATTATTTCTGAAAAAAATTAACGTCGAGGAAAAGCAGCTTGCCCGTAGGCCTTTGGCCTAGTGGTAGACTAGCCCCGGTTTCTAAGCCGGTGGCGAATGGTTCTTTTTTATGGGGGTAAGTTAGTGGGGGAGAAGTCCCCTTACACGTTTTTTATTAATATTTTAAAATAAAGATTACAGACTAATTTTTTACAGCCCTAGAATAGGGCACCAATGACAAAGCAAAGGGAAATACAGTCCGGTGGACGAGTATGCCAAACAATGGCTTGTAAATGAGATGTGGCTCTTTTTGCAAGAATATCACCAACCATGTTGGCCTCATGAAAAATGTGGTGATGAACCACCCATGATTTGAGAACCGTTGTCGATAGTTTGTTGCAATTGTATATAACTTCCACGAACACTGATAATGTTCATTAATAACATTAACGAGCAATGTTGGGTCGCTTTTAATCTGAAGAGAAACATTTTAACTGAATGCTCCCGAACATGATAAATGATTTATCGAAGCAATTATTCCCTCCTGATTATTTTGAATCGGAAGACTCTTTGATTATGCTCTACCCATAAAAATCAAATAGTTGTGAAAAATAAATAAGTCAAAATATTAAAGAATCCATTATATTTGAATATGGAAGATAACCAATTCTTAACATAACGGGAATAGAAGAGCCAAAAATAAATTGCTTACCGCTTCGCCATACAAGAGACTTTCATATAGCCTACGAAAAATCACAAAGGAACAACATATGATAAGGATTGTCATTACTATTTTCATAAAAAGGACAGACAGAAGGAGCCATTGCTATCCCACGCTTCCACAAGAGAGATATAGTGGGTAACCCGTCGTGAAGAGCCAACCAAGAAAACTATTTTGTTCGGGGGTGACATTTTGATGATCACAAGATTATGAAGATTGGTTGAGAGGTGCCCTAGTCCCGAATGAACTCCCAAGCCTCTTTAATTGAGAATAAACCACTTGTCGAATGGTTTGACCGGTGAAGTTTGACCCTAGAAAAAAAAACTCATGCTTTATTTTTTGTGTTTCAAGATCTTCCTTCTATCCTACTTCTATTATTAATTCCATCCTTCTATCCTACTTCTATTATTAAGTCCATATAAAGCGAATTTTCCCTTACTCCAATTTTGTTTCTAATTATGTGAAGGGTGCAGTTGGCATATAGATGCATCTATAGTTGTAGAGGTAAAGTGTACTTTTTCAAATTTTATCTTGGCATATAATTTTGACGTAAAATGTTTTTAGAATTATCTCAAAAATCTATTTTTTATATC